AAGTGATGATGTAGCTGATGAAATCAACCAAGACGGTGAAAATGAAGTACAAGGGAGGAGATATCCACAGAGAGACAGGCAACCAACCCAAAGATACGGTCAGAATATTTATGAATAGATAATTAGGATTCATAGGATCATAAGTTCGTATTATCAAGACAAACATATTGGTATGGACTTGTAGAGTATAGTATACATTAGTTTATTTGTTTTTTGATATTGTTAAGACATTTTACATTAATAGGTTTGCTAGCTAGAGTAAGGGAGGGATGTAGCATTGGTCATGTGACAAGTCACATGGGTCATGTGACAGGACGGATTGATATTGATGACATTGTAGTTTTGTACGGGATAGAATAGAGTGTATACACGAGAACATTACAGTGCTTAGTGCACCACCCGCGCCAGAATGTCTGCATGAAGTAGTAATGAATAGCAGAGTGTTCAATACCAATGGAATAACGGATATCCAGAGCATAATTGAATGAATTTAAGTACATGCAACAACATAATAAATTTCTCTAAAGGTATCTTTCTAAAGATCTTTATGAAGATGCCTATATAGTACACTTTGTTGAGTCAGTGTATATGTACTTGAATATATTCATGTGTTGCTATTTTCGTTTGCAAGTTGTAAATTATGTAACATATATCATCAACGGCTAAAAACGGTTTTGTAGTCTATAGACTATAATTCTATAAAGATAAATGTGATAAACACTTTGCCAAAAAATATTAAAGGTTGGTTGTTTGTGTTTGGTTAACCACACGAGGTCACAAGTGGATTAACATTGAAGAGAAAGCAAAATTACCTAATCTCCTCGACAAAAAAGAGTTTAATTAACGACAGAGCGTTTTATCCGATTGGTCCCAAACTTGACCACAATGTTAATCAATAATAAAGGAACAAAAGAGTGTTCGCGTTTTCGATTTAGTGCATTATTTTTCAATTTGGAAGCATCTCTTCTACCGCAAGATAAGTCAAGTTATCTGCTTTATATCAAAGCAAATATATACAATAGCTGTCAAAAAATGCGAACACACTTTTCTTCTTTGGGCATTTGAGATGAGAAATATGATATTTTGGGAGCTCCTTAGCCTGCATGGCAGGCGGTACTTAGGAAATACCGCCTGCCGCAAAACTGGGTATAAATGAACTACCGCCCCTGAAGCATCAACGCTATTTATAGATGCATTAATTAAGGTTACAGAACACCTTTGAGTGTTAATTTTGCCTAAAATTTTTTTATTGGTTTGCATGAAAGCATTAGACTAGTTCTACTATCTGACCAAGTTTGGACGAAAAATGTTGAAAACTCGCAGAGTAATTTAATAAAATACATTTCGCTTGCAATAAGAAAAACATTGAAAATGTAATATTCAAATTCAATTTTCTCCCGAAGAATTTTACGGCAATTACTGATTTTCAAGCGAGTTATGCTCCTGCGGGTTTTAACAAATTTTTCTCAAATTTTCACAGGACATAGCTAAAGACGTCAGTTTCAAAATTGTGTTCGGCTTTTTTTTAATTTTGGATATTTTAATAATAAAGAGCAATTCACTCAAACAATTCAGAAATATATTGCAGTCGTCAAAGAAATCGCCATATCAGCGGAATGAAGAAATAAACAAAAATTTCCGAACACAATTTTTTAGAACAACTATTTTACTGTATAAAAATGATATTTTCATAAATATATCTTAAAACCAGCAGGAACATAACTCAAAAGCGTAAAGGTACCGCGACTTAAGATTTTCCTGAATAATTCTTACATTAGTTTATTGTTTGTCAATTTTACAACTTCATCATATTTTGCATGCACTTGCTAACATTTGGTGAAAATTTGATGAAAATCGGACTGATATTGAGCGCGCAGTAACGATTTTCCACAAAATGCCAAAAAGGGTGTCCTGTAACCTTAAGTAAATATTCAAAATTAGCCACTCCCAAGTTGCTCCCAGTCCCAACTGCCCAACATAAAATAAATTCCTTGATTCTCATCACCGCCCGACTGAATTTTAAAATCCTCGTGAAAACGTTTTATATTTCGTTATACAATATATAAATGTACCGCCCGACAAAATAATTCAAGACAGTTAATTTTTTTATATTTTATATAG